AATATTGGAAATAATTGATAAAAAAGTAACCTGACCGTTAATACATGTTAAACGATAACTCTATGTTAATAATCTCTGTATAATTTACTCTACCTCACTCGAAGACGTAAATCGAACGCAACCACAGACATTTGAGCGAAACTCGTTCAACGTTGAAGCTAATTATACGGAAACAAACAGGATTTTGCTAGCGACTGCAAAACCTGGCATCCAGTTTCGTCTTGCTAATCGCTTTTACGCAAACCAACAAATTACCGCACGTAACGCAGTGCTCACGAAAATTTCCCAACCCCTGTGTGCAGAATCAACCAGAGAACAATTTTGCAAAATTTGATCGAATTTACAAACGAGAAAAATATTATGAAATATTCTTCACCTCGATTTATACGTCGTTTGTCATAATTTACCGTTTCCTTTCCCGAACGTCGTCGTACTAAACAAGTAACTTGGCACAGATCTAACGAATCTAAAAGTTTGTACACACAATCGCATTTCCATTCTGCGACAACGTTTACCGAAAAAACAAATAAAAGTCTCGAGCTGAACGTGTTAATCAAGATTAAGCGGAAACGAAGCGACTGGAAGCGCAATTCTCGTTTCGTTTCGACACGAATGAAACGAGGGAAACCAAGAACAGCCAGTTAGGTGTTGAAAGCCCGCAAAACGAACGAAACGTGGCTCATTTTCCGTGGAAATTCACTGGCAATCGCGAGTCTCGTCGCGAGCGAAACGGAGCGAAGTCAGGCTGAACGAGCGGACGAAAGAGGCGAGAGGAGATGGCCGTCATTTAAAATCCACCTTCGAAAAGATAATGGCAACTGACCTGAAAACGACACTCCACTGTTTCGTCGAGCGTGCCTGCGACCAACTTGTTCCGGGGGAGCGAGGGAGGAAATGCGGTCTGAAAATGCGACTCGTCCCGCGACACGACCAAACGAACGATAAGTTCTCTCTCTCTCTCGGTTGATGTATATGTGCCACTTTTACGGGAAAAAATTCACGTCGCTGATTTTCGATTTCTAAGAAAATTTCAACCTGCGAAAGAACATTCTAGACGTGGTTTGCCGGAAGATGGAAACGTTCAATTACGTACCTACTTGTGTACGAAGGAAGAAATGACATAATGGATGAGTTCTGTTGTTGTTAATTTAAAGATCATATTTTTATTTTCACTGTTCACTTGTTGCGATGTGATTTCTATGTTTATGAGTATAATTGCAGTGGCAATTTAAGTAGATATATTTATGTAACAAATTATCAAATAAATTGATACCGAAGGGCTACAGTTTTCCATTTTTTTTATCCTATTTTTATTCTCACGATTTCTATAGTTATAGTGACTCTTCGAGCAGAGATATTTATGTAGAAATTTATCAGATAAGTTGGTACCGAAGGACTACATTCTTAAGTTACAATTCTGCGATTTACACAATAAACAGATTATTTTTTCACATCATTACTGACAGTAATTAAATGAAAATTTGATAGTTTGGCTAGTTTCTTGTTAACCGAAAAATGGAGAAAGATGTTCGAAAGCAAGACGAATTTCTCAGGTTCAAAATTGAAAACATTTCTACTATTAAGCGATCTTTGAAACATTAAAAGTAGCTGTTGTACAATTCCGTAAATAAGGGGATCGAGGTATAAGCTGATTTGCGATAAAAACAGCCAGCTCACCGACGATACAAGAGAGCAACGGCGCAACGAGAAATAATCATGCTCTTCAATTATCGACATCAAGTTTCTTCTATTAAAGTTCCTGCGAAAAAGAATAAAAAAAATCTATCGACCTGTTCTATAACAATCTTTTAGCGAACTCTCATACCAGATCACTTCAAACGTAACGAGGCACGAACTATTATCTCTTCAGAGCGCGAGCAAAGAGGATCAAGCGTAATATTTTTCAGTAAACTTACGAAATAATTATGGAAATGTTCCAAGAATATGTATATTTTTAAATATGAATGCAACGATGTGAAAACTTTTGATTCGCAAGATTCGTGCTACGTAATAATTAAGGAATAACAAGGGAAAAGCTTTGTGATACCGTATAATGCTTCAAAGTCCAGGACAGCTGACACATTATGTAAATCTAACGTGAAGTTGGTCAAAGGATATGAATACACCTAGTTTGTGGACATTACACTCCTCGTTAAACAATCAAATTTATACCAACCACGAAGTTTACGAACTGTAGAAACTGAAAACTGCTACTAGCATAAATATTCCTTAAATTCAAAAACAAAAATAATATCTATTAAATAAAATCTAGCCCAAATTAACCCTTTCGTTGCTACGCTCTGAAAATTTAGCCGCGCCGTGCTGTTAGAGCCTCTTGGCACTCTTCCACCTTGATTTAATCCTTGATTTCATCCTCTGCAATATAAAGAATCTGCCACAGCGAGAGACTGTTCAATTTTCGTTCGTTACTTGAAAATCTCACTAATCATCGTCATTCCTCTCCATTCATTCGTCATATTAAGGTGCGTTTAGACGAAACGAACGAGTGCTCGTTCGCCTCCCACATCCAAAAATTTCTCATGCATTCAGCATTCGTTTATTTCTTCAGTTTTACGGGGAGATTTTCCATTAGATCTCCATTTCCAGGGAACGCAAATTCAAAATGAGAAACTTACAAGATTCTGTGAAAATATGTTACGAAGGAGTGAGAAGAAATTGAGAAAACTGAAATGTTTACGCTCGTTTCGACTGAAATCTTGTCGAAGTGTAGAAAGAACGAGCATTCGTTCGTTCGTTCGACCTAAAAACGAGCACAGTCGAAAACTATTTGATCCTGACCTACATCGAAACACAGAAGCTACTCACGAGAGGTAGCGTAGTTGACGAAACAAAGCGGCGATAGAAAAAGGGAAGATCGAAGGTATCATTGAAGTGCAACGTATACACGAGAGGCTAAAGCTCGATGCGAAATCCCAGCGTTGAAAGGGTTTCTCGTGGAAATCTTTCTCGGTGGCACGGCGTAGCGGAAGCACGAGAGCTTACAAACCTAAGCAGAGGTTACGAGGGTTGGAAATCGTGTGCAAGGGTGAACCTGGCAAAGTGGATACGGTTTACGATTCCTTTCGGCTCGGTTGCTCCTCGCGGAAAAGAGGTCCGGGTGCCAGGGCAATCGTCCGCGTCTTTCTGCCGGATTAGAAATCAGGATTTCGCGAGAACCCAATAAATATAAGATGGTAGATAAAGTTTCGCGGAAGAGCCATCCCGGAGTTGCGACTTCCAACTTCCGAGGAACCGAATCAGACGACCCCCGGTACGCAATGTTTTACGACGGCGATACTCCTGAGGTTACTGCTTCGCGGAGTTTCACCGATACCGCTGCTGAATGTGGAAAGTATTTTAGGCAAATTCGCGACTCGAGACGAATGTAACGCGCGGGGTGTCATAGTTCATAAGCGCTGTTCTTTTTATACCGTTTCTTCGAGGGTAGTTTCTCTTTTTTTCTTTTACTGTACGATTTTGGGATAGTTCGTGAAACTGGGTGATTTTTTTTTTTAGCGTCAACGTTGTTACCGTGGTTTTGCGTGAAATTTAAAGGGAAGCTGGAAATGTACTTAGGCAGAGAAATGACTCTTCGAAATTATTAGAAAATTCTCAACCTTTCCTAAAGAATGATTTTATTTATTTCAGTAGGGAAATTATTATGTCTTGTTCGTTGAAAATTTGTGAAAATATAAAAAATGAGTTTCTTTTCGCTTTAATTGTAATTTTCCCAAAGTTAAGTTTGAATACTGAATAATGTAAAGGTTAAACATTGTGTTACATTTCTATGTTAGATTCAATATTTCCTCCTCACAAAATTTGATTCCTTTCCAAATTCAATTGTAATACGCTTCGTTACGCCATTTTAATATCGTTGTATCTACGTACAAATAGCTTGCTCCATCAAAATACACTAACTATATAGAAAGTATCACTAGCACAGTAAACTTGAAGAGTGAACTTAGAGTCGATAATGTAATACTTGTGTACAATTTAAACTTGGCAAATTTGAGTATTAATTAGTAAGTTACAGGAACTAATAATACGGAACACACGTTATACGAGGCTGTGGAACGTTGATGATGAGAGCCATACGTCGGTCGTAGTTTAGATTCTATTCTAACAGAAAGTTTCTGCATAGTAATGTCCGTTCGGGTTAATACCGACTTATCTCGGCTGTTTCATCGCGGTAATAATAATTACATATCTGTACTATATAAATTCTACCTGCTGTGAGTACTACGATATAGTATTCGCGATTTATGAACGATAAATACGAACGAACAACGAACTGGGGGATTTAATTAATAATATACGCCATTAAGAGGTATGAATAACGAAATAATTATTTACGAGTGGTGATAAACAGGGAATACATTATTGTGCTCTATCCAAGATTCCAGATATATTAAAATATTGCCACGTAAATTTATTTACCTTCCGTGGAAGCACTTGAAAATTTATATTAGATGCAGTATAAAAATAAATGGTAACAAGAATATTCTTACGATCGCTGAAATTTCTTTCAGCCATTTGTTATTGCCAAGTTTAAAAATTATATTCTACTAATTCTGGAAAATGAAAAATTTCGACGACCTTTGAAAATTTATACTCGATGCAATATGGAAATAAATGGTGAAAGGAACATTCTCGTGAGCACCGAAATTTTATAAAATTAATGAAAAATTTTCTTTCATCCATTTATTATTTGCAAATTTAAAAATTATATTCTACTAATTCTGGAAAACTGAAAATTTCGACGACCTTTGAAAATTTATACTCGATGCAATATGGAAATAAATGGTGAAAGGAACATTCTCGTGAGCACCGAAATTTTATAAAATTAACGAATAAATTAGAAATTTTCATTTGCGCCTTTCCTCGAAGACACTTTTTCTTTCGAGTCAAGCTCGTCGTAAAATATTTGACGAAATAAGTTCGTTCCTTCTTCAATTCACTCGACAATTTCGCTATTAAAAAGTTGCTCTCTAGACACATACCTGGAGCTTCTGCAGCCAGATGCAACTCTGGTTCGCCTGTCTGTCCCCGACAAGCGTGGATTGATCGAAAGAGCTGCACCTGTCAGTGCCATTTGCCTCGGTCCTGCCATACTGAGCCAGAACGACGGAGATCGTGGTACCTAGTGGACACTTCAACGTCATCGACTCCTCGACGCAGGCTGCGCGCTGATATGTCTTCAGGGTGCCTAATAACAAGGCTGTCGCGTTAAAACCGCGGTCGCAGAACGTTCGTGAAATGTAACGTGTGGTTAAGCCGCGAGCATGATAGAGCGGTGACAATTATTCGACGACGATGTGGAATTGTTGGAAATGTAAGGGAAATATAAACGGCAGAAAAATGGAAGAAACATTATTAAGAGATTAATTACGTATCGATTCAGTCGCAAAAGGCGTTGAAATAACAGGCAGATAATACGAATAGATATTTTGCACGCGAAATACGTGGTAATTATGTTTTCCAATAAATTCGACGAAAAAATGTTTCAACGACGAAGTCGATACGAAAGGTGTCCAGTTGAATAAAACAACATAGAAACGGGGTCGAATTAAAACGATCGAAACGAACGAAAAATACGCCCGTAAGAGGAAGCAGAGGGGCAAAATTTCACGGTGAAAACATCACCGAAAAAAAAAACCGAATAGGAAATCACGCATCACAAAAGAGCGACATTCGATCCGTGATAGAGGTATTAAATTTGCCAGCAAATCGTCATTCGATCAAATAGATTGGGATCCCCATCAGCGGTATCGTGTGTCAAAGAGTGTGAAATCGCAACAACGAGCAAGCCACGGCAAACGAAAAGTAGGCAATGTAAAAATCACACGAACAAATTTGCGTTCGATAAAGTGAAAGAACGAAGAAGGAGGCGAAAAGCGAACCAGCGAAAAACAAAAAGTAAAATAAAAATATAGAGGAGGAGGACGAGATTCACAGAAACGAGAGAGCGGAAGGAAGGAAATACAGGGGAGCGTGGATCGATCGATGACCCGTAACAGTGTCGCCGCAATGGTGACCAGTTTCGAGGGATTCGCGGTAATTAACGAGTGGATCAATCGAGGATCGGACGATGTATCGATGACACCCGCGAAAGCGGTGACGGTTCGTTTACACGCGGATACAAGCCAGTCGAGACGAACAACGGGTCACATTTGCGGAATTGAACGGCGAGTTTGCGCGCGGAACCGCACACGTTGCCCCGTTGCATTGGAAACGATTCGTGCCACGGCCGAAGTCGAGAAAAACGAGCGATCCGATGGTTGTTAGGTTTGTTAATTTCGTTCCAAGATTATCGGTTTTGGATGGAAGAAGATTTCGATCACGATTTGGGAGTAGGGAAAATTGATGAGAAATTGTTAATTCGATTGTATTGTACGGACATAAAATGGATCAATTGCATAGAGATTATGTACGGAGGATATTGTCCATTTCGTTGGAATATTATTGGTTTTGGATGAAAGAAGAGTGAGATATCGTTGATAATTGTGAGGAAATAGGGCGAGAGAGGTAGAGAAAATTGATAAGAGAATGTTAATTCGATTGCATATTCGATAATACGTAAGACAGAGTAATAACGAGAGTGCAGTTCAGAAGAGAATTGATAGATCAGATTTGAAAATAGAACGAAACGAGTTTAATCGACAATTAAAGTGTTCAAAATGACAAAGGAGATGGTATAGAAAAGAATGCGATTATAGGAAAAGCAAAGTGTAACGACAGAGCAAGAAGAAAGTATACGGTAATCGAGAAATAATGAGAGAACAGCAACGACAGGAAATTACAGTAATTACGACACCGAAAGGTAATTAAGAAGTCATTGTAATATCGCAGAAGAAGAAACAAAGAGTCATTAAAAAGCAGCAGGTATATTTGTAATACGATAGCAATAAAAGGACACCGTTCGAACGAAAGTAAACATAGTAATTAGCGAAAGGGTCGAGAAAAGAAATATCGTAAAGGTGTATCAAGTATGGGGTAATTAAAAGCGTTTAAGGGGTTTATTACGGGATGCAATTAAGTCGTTGGCCCAACAAGGTGTCCGACAGAATGTTAGTGTATCAGTGTGCGTGGTCACCGTGAACGTGGTTTGTTAGCATGCCAATGTGGTCACCATCACCATGATTTATTAACGTGTCATTGTTGTCACCGTCACCACGGTGTACCAGGCATTGTGGTCACCATCGCCACGGCGTATCGTTGCATTATCGTGGTCACCATCACCAGAGTTAATCAGCGTGTCGTTGTTATCATGCGGATTGTTAGGGTCCGTCGTTGCAACCGTCACCATTGCCATAATGAAAGAAGTGGCGTGATCCAAGGAAGAACATGAAAAAAGAAAAATTGAAAAGCTTCTGTTAGCTGTTGTCACCACTCGTAACAATGTTCGTTAACCCTTTAGTGATTGAATTGTTTGTTTAAAGAATTTCTTATTTATCTGTCGATCATCGCTGATGTCTGTGATCTAAATTCAGATCAATTTTTGTTCGAGCACTCAAGTATGACGTATAAGTCCCAATTGTCACGAAAGGGTTAATGTATTTTTAATAAAATATAGACAATTTGTGGAGAATTGAAAATTGCACAGAATGAAAATCGAATAAAGATTTTATAACAATTTTTGAAGACAGAAGTGGCAGAAATGTTCCTGGAATTTTTCGACATTTCGTTCCCACGAGATCATTCTCTACAGGATTTAATACTAATTGTAATATTATTACTCCGCGCTTTCGACGTAACAGATATGTGAACAATTCTCAACATGCGCAACTGAATACGCAATTTAACGTTTATCGTATTTTGAATACATATTATCGTAGCATAACAAAATTAACAAAACATTTTCAGCAGCAATCCCAGTCCTATAACTCCTTTCAGTATAAGAAATACGAACATCAAATCGTAATAATTTATCTTCCATTCGTTGCGATATTTTCAAACAGAGAATTCATTCCACGTACTCACGTATTGTTACGAGAACAAATCAAACGCGTTGTACATACCGAAATAGCTCTGAAATTGCGAGTAGAAACTTCCAAGACGATAAACCATCTCCTAATTGAGCGCCAGGAGGCAGAGGTGCGAGGGAATTTTCCGATTGTCCGCAGAATTCTCGCGGCGACCAGGTGAAAAGGGCAAATTGACGTGCGAAATTTCCCGAGTTTTCTCCAAATCTGATGGATCGAGGTCGAACGCAGGTGAGCCGATATTTACGCGACCTGACAAGTGCTCTTCAAGGGACATTCCGCCCCTCCGTTTCAACCCTCGCGAAACGTTGGCGAAATTGCAGCGAAACATGGCTTCCAGATGGTTATCGTTCGTTCTCTGTCGCTCTCGAAACGGTAATTTCGTTTGTACCGGGAGAAAAGTAAATTTTGTTCCACGGTACGTCTAATTGTGTCGACGTCGGAATAAATTACGAGACGGAAGTCCTTGTTATTTTACATGTCGAGTGTCGCTCGCGACGAGTTGTAAATTCGCCCGACACTCCAAGTGTACAACGTCAACGAATACCGAGACGATATCTCTGTTACAAGTTAACGCAAGTAGCAGAGATAGTGATTGGACAGGGAAGAATTTGTGGGGTGGTTTGTTGGGTCTGATTTTGATGGAACGAGGTTGTAATATAGAATCTGTTACTGTAATAGTATGAGCTTGTTGGAGTATGAGTAGAATCTGAATAAAATCCAAATGAAACTTAGATACATTTTCTTTTCTGTAATTTGAATGAAATTTGACGAATGAAATTTATTTTTTAAATTGGTGCAGTACGTGTTTGAATCTAAATTATTGGAAATATAAATCAAAGAAAATTGTACTATAGAGAGGTGTAAAGTTATTGCTCTCTAAATTGCAAAATTGTAAAATAGGGGTGATAAATTGTAACAAATTGATGGAGTAATTAAGACATGATTTATTTCGCAATGAAATTACTGGGAGATGACCGCTGCAATTATTGCAGATTTTTATATACGATTGTAGTATTGTATGAATTACTCTGGGGATCTTCGATATGGCGTGGTATTTTACGAAGGGATCAGGATTATGGGATTTAGGAGTGAGAAGGATTATCCGAGAATAGTTTTCTGAGATAAGAGAAGGTTAGAGTTTGTTTGATTAGGATTCTTTTAAGGCGGGTTCTGCAAATATTTGTAGCATTGCAGGAGATCTTTGTGGCATCAAAATTAAATTTTAAGCTTCACAGAGATCAGTATTTGAGTTAGAAATTAAGTTTGTACTATCGGACGGTTAACATTCTGTGCTTTCTAAATTGAAGTCTTTAAATTTCAATTCATAAAGAAAAATTTCAAATTTCAAAAATATCAAAATTAAATGTTCAGCTTCCGAATATCTCATCTGCACTTCACTTCAAATTGTACCCTTCCAAAAGAAAAAATGCTCCATTCACCCTAGCATTGAAACGAAAAATTATAAACAAGACACCTTCGCAACCATAAAATTTCACCAATATAACATAAAGAACTTTCTCAGCAGAGGAAGAAGAAGAGGAACAAGTTTGGTACATCTAAAGTCGAAAACAAATTGCTCCACTTCATTCTGGATCATCCACCACCGGCAGAGCCAAGAATCTTCCAATGTGGCGAACCCTCGACTGCCGATCGTTACTTTTTAATACGCGTTATAAAGCTCACAGGCAGAGATTACCGGCGCGTAATTACGCGAGGCGCGATCGTACATCTCGAAAGCTCATGACAGCGGTTTTTTGTCCCGGGCGTTCGTGAGCGCGTTTCAATCCTCGCCGAGGTTCGCCTCGAGTTTCAGCGGCGCTGTACCGTCTTTATGAGGCCATTTCTCAAACTTGCAATATCGCGCCGCTCGTTCTTCCGTCTCATTAACTCTACGCGCCCTTTACAAGTGCACCGGGGAAAAGATCGGCCCCGTAGAAGATACGCGCGATTCACATTCACGGCGAGCATCACACCGCAGACAAGTGGTGGCCCCCGTTGCCGGAATTGCTTCTCCACGGCGGTTCCTCGAATCCGCGGTGCAATCGCGATCCGTCTTCCGCGGTCCACGCGGATTTCCCTTCGACGATCGCGAATAGCTTCGCCAAACACCCGAAACCTCCCGTTCCAAGAGCATTAATTTTTCCCCCTTTCGTATCGATGGATTTTCCCGCGGTTTTTGCTGTATTAACAACCCTTTGCACTCGGAGGTGATTTTGCTGTAGAAAAGTTTGCG